AATTGAATTTTTTTTTTCAAATTTAGGATAATATCATTTGTTTCTTGTATCTTCACTTTTTAAGAGCCTTATTTCCTATCAAAATTGCTTAGCTGTTTGTTTTCAGATATAAAATAAATAAGGAAAAATAACATGCTCATTTTAGAAAACATTTATTTCAACATTGATGTATAATACAATAAAGATGTCAACTATAGTAAAAAGATAAACTGTAAAGTATGTATTACTATCAATGAAAACAAGTCATAAAAACATCTATTAACGTATACATATATAACAGGTTTAAAATAATTTTCATCATTAGAATTCTAAAAGTGAAAAACATTTGAATGTAACAATAAAAGTTAGAATCTTACAGCGTAAAATAATAAATCCCATACAATTTAAATAATAAAACACAGTGATCTCATTGAAAATATACATGATAATTCTATCGCAAGAAACTTTTTGAAACCTGATTATAGATTTTTACCACATTAAACAATCTTTGAAGTAATTCATATAAAATATCTGTATCATTGATACAAATTAAAAATTTTCACACAAAAATTAAATTCAGCAAAATATATTCAAAGCGTGAATTGCAATTAATCTTGTGGAATTTTTTAAATAATTATCAACCTTATTAAGGTAAATTAGACCACTTTAACTGGCTAAATTTTGTACGCAGATCGTACGTTTCGTACGCAAGACTGTACTGGGTTTGATTGGAAATTTTCATGCATAAATTATTTGTTTTATTGATCACATATCTTAATAATATTTGGCTTTTAAAGTTAAGTATATAAATCTCTACTTGTATTTTAGTTGGTTTCATCATATAGTTTATACATCCCATAACTTTAATGACTAAAACTAGATATTTTAAGTTGTACTCCTTATAAACATAATTTCAAATACATGTTTGAGATAAATATCATGTCGTATTAGGTTTATAATTTTCCTAAATAAACATAATATTAACTAATACCAGTTTTAAGTTTCAAACCATTTTTGTTTCATTTAATTCCCGTCTGCCAAGTCTTGAGAATGGGTGTTTATTCCGATTGCATATTTTCGAAGCCAATGAAGTTTTTTAATAAGTTATATCTTATGGCTTTAGCTTCTTGGAGTTATTCATTTAATTAACTGATATATTTTAGATGAGATCCTAAGACTATGGAATTTTCTTTTTATATCATAAATATCCGATCATTAGATCAAGTTATTCGATTTGTAAGGAATTTTATTTAGCGAACTTTGTAATTGGGAAAAAAAAATGTCCTTTAGAACCTAAGAAAATGTCTAGGAAGTATGTGTCTTGAAACTTATACGTTCTTATAACTTCTGGCATAGATACATTGTTTTAATACAATGCTTTTTAATTTTTTTTTATTGTTTAATCAAAGACAGTAAACTATAACAACAAATATTCCTATAATTATCACGAAAATAGCAAGAACATTTATCTACACATAATTTTCTCATTTCATATTTAATTTGTGTGGTAGCATTCGGTGAAGTTAAATGATATTTCGCCTTTTCTTTCTTTTTTTAAAGAAAGCAAACAGTTTTCTAAAAAACAATCACATATTTTTTTTAAATCAAATGCTGTACCCAAATACAATTATTTTGTATGAAAGTAGACTTGAAATAAGCTCCTATTTCTACAAAATTCACAATATCTGAAATTTTACACTCTTCTATAATATAAAATAACATACTAGTACATCGATGTAAATAGAATTTCACAGATACAGAGAATTTTACACTTTTGAAAGATAATACATATATTCATTTTGTGCTTCAAATTGAACAAACAATTTCAAATTGATTTATAATGGACAACAGTTTTATTTAACTAGTAAAAATAATACTTTCAGAATGAATTATAACTAAAACAAAGTGCCAATAAGGTAATTAAATCGCAACCTGTCAAGTTGACCAATCGAATTTATTCCTTAGAATGAAAGGGGAAAAAACCTGTCTAGCCTAATTATCACCTGTCTATCTGATAAGTCGACAGCTGAAAAACAGAAATTTGTCTAGGAAGAGTCTATAGGAAGGTTAATGAGTGCTATTCTGAACCCTTTATAAGATCTTCATAGAAGAAATGAGCTGCCATTAGTAATTTAATATTAACTCTTCATAGAAATAACAAACTGCAATTAACAATTTATTTATTTCTAACTCTCAATATAACTATATTAAACTACACCAGACTAACATTACAATAAATTTAATTTTTATGGTTGTAAATAATACATATTCCGCATCAATCGGTTTAATCCTCTTATTTGTTGTAATATATTAATAAAATCTCGTAGATTTCGCATATCTACTAGATTTTATATATATTTGTATAGATTTTTTACATTTGATACGTTTTGCATATTTTTTTTATCATAAACTAAAACTAATATTTTTTAAGCTTAAAATATGAGTATTTGAAAATGAATTTTAATTTACCTATCTGGAGCATGAATTCCCTCTTATATAATTCTAAGAACCATGTAAGAGAAGTATATTATAGAACTCTAAGAGAGAAATATACAGTACAAGTTAATTCCAGGTACATGCATAGCAGAAAACATTCAGACTCAATTATTCTTTATTGGAAGTATTTAACACTAGAAAGACTGAAACCTTTAGTATATACCTATATTGCCCAAAAGTTGTCAAACTGACTGGAATGTGGAAGAATAATGTGTAAAGAAATTTGTTTGAAATTAATTTTTAATATTTTTTTATAGTATTTACAGTTCTATAACAAGTTATTAGTAAATATTAAAAAATAAAAAAAATTATATGTAGTACAAAAAGTCGCAAAGTTCTCAGAAATTGTGTCATTATATACATCATTGTTTTTCTACTTGAAATTAAAAAGCAGTCAAAATGACTTCCTTGGGCAAGCTAATGTTCATAACATTACATAAAGGTCATAATATTTTAGAAATTAACAATATAATATAGTTATATGACGACGCATATGAGAGCAACAGAGATATGATATATTTAACAATAATTGTAAAATTGGGCAGTTTTTGAAAGAAAAAAAATGGTTCCATAACTTATTTTTCGTTGTACAGTTTTTTTCCAACAATTAAAGCTGCTAAATTTAACATTCTTTAAAAATTCGAATCAAAACCAAATTCTTTCCGTTCATTTAAGAGATATTTATCAATTCCTGGATGAGAGTTGTTTGTACTTTTTGTAAAATTTTAAAAAATAAATTGAAGGATTTTTAAATTTAGAAGACATAATTAATTAAAACAAATTTTATCTGAGTGCTTAAGTTTTAAGCACAATGCTGTTAATAGTGCCATAAAAATTACAAAAATCTGTACATTTCTCCAATAAACATCAATATAACAAAAAATATTCCATTCAACGATTGCAAAAAAAATAAATAATAATAATAATTTGATGTTTTTGTTCTTATACCTGCGTTAATGCGGTTTCTTAATTGTTGTAATTGTTATACCACATCAGCTACAACTTGTGAGAAATGGAAAAATTTATATTATAATGGATAATTTCCGCAAAATTGTAACATGATGCGCAATTCACATGATGTGCAATTAAACTGATTTTTGCAATTGGAAAACTATTTGTTGATGTTTACAGATTTAATCGACCTTGCTATCACACGTTGTGTAATTAATTATTGCTTAACGCCTACTCTTGTGCGTATTTTTCTCTGTTTAGTCGTATTTTAAGACCGAAAATTATATTTTGGAAGCCGACAACTTCTATAAACGTCAGGTGACAATTTAAGTTATTTTTAATCGTTGGGCGGTCTTTCTATCGAACGTATTGTTGAAACCAATAATTTAACAATGAAAAAAAAAAGAACTTTTTCAAGGAACTTTTCAATCTAGCAAATCTTCTACAGCTACATGGATTGCTTTGGCACCAACAAAAGTTATATTAGAAATGAAGTTAGTTTGAAAAACTAATAACACTGGGTAAGATCTGGCACAATTTTATAATAAACTGGCGCAATTTTAACTAATAAGTTAAATAAATACTTTGATTATAGTGTAGGTGTCGGAAGGTGTAATTTGTTTCGCGTAAATTTTGTTGGAAAGTTTTTTTTTTAATAGTTAGGCTTCGACGATGCTTAAAAAAGCACTGACATTTTTCAGAAATTAAAATAAGATTAATACACATTTAGCATAGGTTTTAAATATAGGTTTAGAAAGTTGTTCTTTTTACAGTTAGGCTTCGACGACGTTTAAAAAAGTACTGACATTTTTCAGCAATTAAAATAAGATTAATACACATTTAGCATAGGTTTTAAATATAGGTTTAGAAAGTTGTTCTTTTTATAGTTAGGCTTCGACGACGTTTGAAAAAGTACTGACATTTTTCAGAAATTAAAATAAGAGTAAAACACTCATTTAGCATAGGTTTTAAATATAGATTTAGAAAGTTGTTCTTTTTACTGTTAGGCTTCGACGACGTTTGAAAAAGTACTGACATTTCTCAGAAATTAAAATAAGAGTAAAACACTCATTTAGCATAGGTTTTAAATATAGGTTTAAAAAGTTGTTCTTTTCACAGTTAGGCTTCGACGACGTTTGAAAAAGTACTGACATTTTTCAGAAATTAAAATAGGAGTGAAACACTCATTTAGCATAGGTTTTTAATTTTTCATGTCAGCATTTTTATTAATAAAATCATTAACTGTCCCATACGTTTGATTGTCGTGTATACATGTGACGCTGTTACAAATTCAAAACGGCTCTTGTAGCTTATTTCATTGTTATTAAAAGCTAACAACAATATTGTTTCAAAGAATATCATACCTAATTGAAACTTGAATAAAATATAACTAAAAATTATAACAAAAATACAAGTTATTAGATTCGTATCAACAAAACCGTAATTTTTCTTTCCTTTTAAGAATGCTATAAAATATATTTCAAACAATAAATATTCTTTTTATTTTCAAATACTACACAAATAATTATTAACATCGCTTAACACTTATTTTTAATACAATTAAAAGTAATTGAGTATTGCATTTTAGGGTTATAAGGAATATTTTTTAATGTAAATGATTAGGTACGTATAGAGGATTGATAAATGATTATGTTAATTTACCAATCAATGTGGTAATGATTATGCTATATTAAATGATATTATTAATAATAACATATAGACTTAAAATAGCTAAATCGAATCTAAAACAGATTGATTTTTTATGATTATAATCAATCTATTTTAGATTCGCTTTAGCCACTACACTACGAGAATTGTGGAGAGCATTATAGTATATAGCTACGCTTATTCTTTTTTATAGTACAAAAGAACTCGACCAAAACGGTCGTTTACATAGATTGTATAATATCTCTCTATATTTGTACGTACATAAAATATTTCATTCATAAATTTATTTTCCAGCATATATTTTTATGGAAAGTTTTAAAATCTTTAAGATGCAAGCTAATCATGTAATATTTCGAATATGGAAAACTTTTCGACTATGTTCTTCAGGAAGACTGCCCTGTCTAATAAGCGTTAAACCACGATCTCTCTCTCTCCCTTTTGGTTTATCAAGTGTACAAAATAACACGATTAACAAGGTAGATTGCATTTGTTGAGTAATTTCTATTCACATATGTACATATGTAATATACTATATACATAAGTACTGTTCCGTTAAAGTGGGCCGTAAGAAATTGAAAAATCGTGGTGAGCTAATTCGGGCCCAAAAAGGCAACCCTTCATTTAACTGTCAGTATATTTTATTTAATAACCGCCGTTGAACAGGCGATCAAATTTTGGATTTACAACAACTAATGTTTGACTCCTTTGCCTTGTAATTTTGAACACAATCCAGAAGACAAGGAAACTAATAGATCAAATATTGGGAGAAATTTGCTTTCGTGGTGGACTTTTTGATGCTACAAACCCACCTTTATGTTACATGGAGGTAAATCACGATAACCTTCCACAGTTAGCGTGACGACAAGGGGACTCTATCCAGTGATCCGCCTACCACTGGGGATATTTTATGTCAGCAGTGCGGATTTCGTATCGAACAGTCATCACTGGGATTCGAATTCAGTTCACCTCATTAAAAGGTGAACGTTCTATCCCCTGAGCCACAGCGGCTCAACGGTCAGTATAGGTAATATCGGGGACTGTGGCACTTGACCTTAAAAGAAAATCGAGTAAGATATACCGGGCAAACGTATACCGAGCAGTGGCACCTAACCTTAGAAGTATCAGTGTGCAAAACAGTATACAAAACAATATACAAAACAGTAGCGCTTAATCTTTTAAAAAAAAGAAAGGAAAAAAGAAAAAAAAACATCAGTGTAGGGCAAATCGGGCAATGGCGCTCACATCCCTGGATTAATTAGATTATCAAAAATAATAAACAGCTATTATTACAGACTGTTTATTATGTTTAATGCTTTAATTGACGAAAAAAATTTAATCGTCGCCAACGGCCTTTTTCAAAGGAAGAATACCTTTACTAAAATTTATTTTCTAGGATAAACTTTTTATTTTTTGAGATATTTTTTTAGTCTTTTTGACAATAAATAAATCTTAAATATTTTGAGTATAGTCACTTTATGTTTGTTTGTACACATGATTGATTAATAACATGAGTACTCAATGCTCAATATGAGTTTTCGATACTGGCAGGAGTTTGAAATTTCGACTGAAATTCATTCGGGAGAGTTTGAGCTCATTACAAAGAAATTTTAATTCAACAATTATCAGTTCCTTAATCAGTTACAAATGAATGATTAAAGAAGTAAATACACAATACTAATTAAGAAAGTTCAGTATTGCTATCAGAATAAAATTTGAGGCAGAATTAGATATTCTCATTTAAATTGAAAGATTCAATACTTGAAAAGTAGCGTTGACATAACATTCAGTACAAGAAAGATTCAATACTTAATAGGAAATATGATATGATAGCCGGTAAAATAAAAGAATCTTTCATTCAAGGGGAAAGTGTTAAATACTGAATTTGAATACATTAGGTAATACTAGAAAAGTTTCATTCTTGAAACGTAATGTCATTAAATATCGAAGAGTTGACGGTAGCTAATCCTTTCCAACGAGGAGGGTACATTTTGTTGAAAATGAATCTGTTATTTGTAAATGAAGTATTTGGCTTGAGAAACTTGTCAAAATAGAGAACTTCTCCACCAGCAAGGTAAGCTCCCCAGAACCCAAACGTCCCATAGGTCATTATAGTATGATTGCAATGAGCTAAAACCGATAAATCGTGAGCAGGAGTCGATGCCTCTCCGGCGACATGAAATCCGAATCGTTCGGATAGATTTTTGATGCACCATTCTCGGTCGTCGCTAATTAAAATGAAAATCACTGGACTATATTTGTCTCGAAAATAATCTGCAGCTTTTTGAAAGAACTCCATGTTAACAGCCACACCACCAAATTCATTGAGCCATCGATTCTGGTAGTCTCCCCGGCGAACATGCACGCCGACGTACGTCACGTTATTGGTTCGGTTGACGTTAGCTGTATGTAATACTTTATACGCATGTTCTCGCAGTTCTTCTGTGAATCTGAATTGTTCACGAAGCTCATCTTGAATGTGATCAAAGAATGTGTATGAACAAGGATATTTGTACCTGAAATTAAATATACATATAAATATAATAGATCTTAAGTTTTACCGATTAAACCTACAATTTACCAGAGTTGGGGTTTTTACAGCAACATATATAAATTATGGGGTAATTATTCCGTTATAAAAGTAATATTTGTAAATTCTAAACACGCGTATAATAGAAAAAAGGTCAAACAAATTTTAAAATATTTATTTTTTTCAAAATAAATCTTGAAGGCATTTTCTGCACATTTTAATGATTTTCACATTATTTTATAATTCACTTATTTTGTAATTTTTTAAAAAATCAATGAAAACTGTTCACTTCAGAAAAATAGAAAATTTATAATTTGTAACCGAAAAAAAAAAGTTTTTGCTCACACAATCTAAAAAATCTGCAAATTCGTAATATTTCTTGATTATTATGAGTTTGGAGATATTATAGCAAAAGATAATATTCCAAAATAGATAATTTTGGAATATATATAATATTTCAAAAAGTAATGATTTTTAAATATCGTTTATATACATGAAAGATTTATATTTAATAGGAAAAAAGAAGTATTAAAAAAAAGAAGTATTTCTTCGGAAATAAGCAGCTAGTTCCCCCCCCCCATCCCGTTAGATTTTAAAAGAAGTATCCGTAAAATTTCNGGAAATACAGCAGATTTCTTAATATTTTTCTTTATCATTTTTCGTAAAGTTCTAACTAACAAATCATATGCATTTCTGCTTTTCTGCTAAATGTATTATTTAATATTTCATTCTTATTTTTTAATAAACATAACTTCAAAATCCCCTCCGTGGACGTCCCTACGTCTGTGACACAAAATAATTTTTAATGGCTGTTAAACAACTTAAATGTTATTTTAATGATTTTTGTACTTTTACCTAGTTAAATGTTTATAGTAACTTTTAATTTAATATTTTTTTAAAAAAAAATTATTTTTATGAAATAAATGACTAGTAAACTTTGTCCATCAAAAATGAAATTAATATAGTTCGGTAAATATGTAATAAAGGGCAGCATATGCGAAATCCCTGTAACACAGCTGCTGGGAAAGGTAACCATTCTATTTTCTAATGCTAACTATCAGTTGTTTTTGTTCTATTTGGTGTCAGTTTTGGATTCTTGTGTTCAACTGGGGTTTGGCAAAGTTCTCACCGTATACTCCGTGGACATCATAAAGAAGGTAAGAAAAAATTATTCTATTTTTGATAGATGAATTTTAGATTGCAAAAATAGTATATTTAAAAAAAGAACTGGGCCATTTTTGTAACTTCAAAATCAAAAATCAGTAAAATTCAAGAATTAGTTTTTGTCTCCTCCGTGGACATAACAAGTCCACGGAGGAGAAGACGCAGCCAATGGAAGAGACAATGTGTTAGATAACCATAATACAATTTTAATAATTAGAAAACTATTTTCTTTTAATTGATATTTTTTAAAATGGAACAAATGTGTTAATTTGCTTGTATTTTTAAAGAAAATCAATTAAGTTTAACTTTTTCTTATCGGAGATTTCTAAATAATTTCTGTGATGTTTAAAAATTTTTTTTCTCTTCATATTTTAGGAAAAAAATGGCAAAACCAAAATGCAAAAAAAGAAAGCAATCAAATGTTCAAATGCAAAAGAAAAGGGAACAGAAAAAACTTAGTATGAGACAAGCTAGACGGAAATTAAAGAAAACCCTATATTGTTTGAAGAAAGTAAAAAAAAAAAAAAAAAAANAAAAAAAAAAAAAAAAAAAAAGAGCAAGAAACTTTAAAATCTGTATCAGAAAAAGATTTAACAGAAAATCGTGATTAAATGTACTTAAATTTCTAGAAATTGATAGAGTAAGTCGTTTGTGCCCAGGGAAAAAAGAAACAATAACAAGAAGAAAAGAGAAAAAACAAAAACGTTATTTGGATGACAGTATGTTTAACTTGCATAAAATGTTCATAAAAGAGTACCCTCAACACTCAACTTTCATGTGGAGTCTGAATTTTTGTTTCAATAGTCTTTACATTTTAATTTATTAATATTCAGTAAGAGTTACTTAAAAAATTATACACCTAGTTTAAAAATGGATGTTTCCTTTCATAGCAGCATGATTAATCGGAAGTGGCTCTATCTCTAATAAGGAAATATTTTATTATTCACTTATTAATGTTAAACTCATATCAATTGTACCCAAAAATTAATGAATTAGTCTTCATTGACATTTTATATTTTATAACACAAAATGTCTCCCCCGTTGCCTATTACATCTCCTCCGTGGACAAGGCAGAAATTAAAATATTTTAAATCTTGTAAAAAATAAAATAGAAGATTTGACCATTATTATAAGGACATATAACAAAAATAAATAAACGCATTTATGTAATTTTTATCTCTTTTTTAATTACTTTAATATAAGAAAATTTTTTAGTCTATTTATACCTTTTCAGTGATAATGACCCATATATATATATACTATTGGAGTTTTACTTAGTAGGAATAAATATTTTTTCGAGTTGAGGGGACAACTAAAGATGTATCAATTATGAAATATGTATAGACGCTAGGTAAAGTTACAAAAATCAAGTGGAAAATTATTTTTTCTGAATAAACATTCTTTTTCCCGAAGGATTATTTGGATTTTTGATTCCCAAGATATGGGAAAGGAGTCGTAGTCGTCATAATTTGGAAGACATGATTACGTTAGTTTAGTCAGGATATCTATTTAAAACTGGTTAACTAAGGATAATTTTATGTAAGAATTTATTTTCAATAATTTTGCACTTATCATTTTATTTATTTGATAATGATGGAAAAAATTCGGACCTCACTTTACAAAAATATTTACATCTTTAAAATCTACTAAAACTTCAGAGAAGTCAGTAAAATAGTTTCATTGCTATAAAATTAAAAATATCCAATATTTGAAATCTTATTATTCTGGAAATACTCAACCAATTTCATTTTTATTTTATATTTTGCCATTTAAAACTATTGCATGCAAAAATTATAATTATTTTTAAAGTATACTTTTTTCTCTTTCGGTTAGTTTTCTCTGTGACTTGGATTAAACAAAAACAAAAAAAATCTGACCTGAGATTCTGTCTTAAGGTAAAACAAGCCTTACGACTGCTAGATACTTCAATGGTCTTTCCTATTTTTTACATCAGGCTCAGTTTGCAACTTAGTTTTACCAGTTAACATAAATTAAAAATAAAGAACAGATATTTTTATTTTATGAATAAATTCCCATTACTGCTTAGTTACCGTAGAAACCGTAGAAGAGGGTTGGGATAGTCTGGTCGGTAGCGAGCTGGGCCCATGTCCGTGAGTTCGTGGGTTCGAACCCCACCGGCCGAAGACTCCCCGTGTAGTAAAGTGACTGATGCACGTTAAATCTGTCGATTCGCAAAAGTCCTCCATGTTCCCATAACAAATCAAAACCTCTGGGGGTACTGGATTGGAGATCGATCTTTCTCTGATTCAGGTCAAAATTACGATCTGTGGATGAATGAATGGATGTATGAATGGGTCCGCCCTATAAACGGTTGCGTCGTATGGTGTGGCAGAAGTTGAATTTTTGGCCATAGATGGCGCCGCTGAAAAACAAGATACGCACACTCTGCCTCAAATTTGCTCGGTTTCACCAAGCAGGCTTGCTCGTGTGGGAAGTGTCATTAGAAACAACAGCAACACTGTTTAGAAAAGCCGCGTATCATTTTACTGTCTGTCGCTAATAAAAATAATTACAGCATATGAGAATAATTTATTCTTACCCTTTAATGAAATTCGAATGGGATGATATGGCTGCATCTTGAGCTTGGAAATATGAAAGTATTGGCCAAGATTGCCACTTGATGTACAGATATTGATGTATGGATTCTCTGTGACTTAACTGTTGAAAATATGGCTTCAAATGTTTCAAATTGCAAGACAGAGGAATGAAAGTACGTCGATTGAGCTTACTAAGACCATAAAGTGTGGCGTACGTACACATTTGATTCCCTAGCCTTCCGAGATTGCATTGTATAGATAATGGTAAAGCTTTGGAATCTGAAATAATCAAACAAGAATACATAATAAATATCAGTATGTTCAAGACGGCCCATGACACTTTGGTCCTTCCGTTTTAGTCCCGTCGTTGCAGTCCCCTTGCCGCTTCATTCCCGTAGCTATTTCAGTCCTCTCTCGATTGCTAATTTACAATCCAGTGTCGTTTAACGACTCGCTCTCTTTTTTTGGAGATTTTAATCTTGGCTGAAATTGGTCTCAATTATAATACAAGCTTTTCTTTCTTTTAAAATTTTTTACCTGAACTAAAACAATGCCAAGAATCAAATATTTTTATTTGAAAAAATGTTAAACAGTGAAGCGGGTTGTTAAACGCCGCTGGATTGGAAAATTGCTCCCCGAATCAGTCCCGTCACTAATTCGATTCTAGACATTACAACCCATTTTTTTTATTACGGTGGCAACGTTTCAAGGGCCTCAAATATAATTTTTTTTAGTTTTTTTTAATTATTTATTTATTATTTCCAGTGACAGAAAATCGGGAATTTTAAAAGGTTTATTTAAAAATTAGTAAGGGTAAAATTAAACGTTTGAATTATTCAAAATATTTACGAGGAATTAGTCATAATTTTCTAATAAATTAGAGAAAAACTTTTTTAAGTTTCAATGAAATCTATCATTTTTTTTTTTGTATTTCATTATTTATAGAATTATGCTAATTATTATGTAATAATGCACTATGATTGTAAGTTTCAGTAAACAAATAAATAAATATGGACTTCTAGGCTAACTAACTCCACGAAGTGCTATTTAGAAATTCGTTTCAAATAATTCCACCCTTGAAAAAAAAATGAAAAAAAAAAGGATACAGGTGAAAATTCATAAAATAACAGGTAAAAATTAATAAAATAGGAATAATGATCATTAGCAGGAATGTTTTGCAGATATGGTAATTCTTTTTAAAATTTAAATTAACGGGAGCGAATTGGCGGGACCAAAACGGCAAGCCCGAAACTGTCTGCTTCAGTTCAAGATTGTTTAAATTCATGGCGGACAACACTGTGACAGGTTAGAAACATCAGTCTGATTTTTTTTTACGTAATTCGACATTATAAACACTTACAGATTTATAGATTTATAGAAATGCATACAAATGACAAAACTGTAGCAAATATTCTATTGACATGCATGTGCTACACAGATATTTGCAAAATTAAAACGCGTTTTTTTTTCAATTTTTTTTTTTATTATGATCTTTTAGCATGAAAGCAACCTCTGTTCATCCTCAAATTTCTTTTTCTAACAATAGTCACTACTCTTTTTTCCGCTAACAAATCATCCAAAATGTCATAAAAGGATAAAGAAAAGAATTAATAGGATAAATATATATAGTATACGATACTGTGCTTAAAATGATTTTAGAGCAGATTTTAAAAAATATTACTATATAGGAAATATTAAGCTGGAGAACCATGGCTAAGGGAAGAATGTCTTGTCATAAGCTTGTTGAGAAGGCCAAGGCCCATACTGGGCTGTCGTGCCAATGAGAAGAAGAAGAAGGAAATATTAAGGGTTTATTAAGTAAGATAATTTAAGAGCACTAGTTAACTTCACTTGAATACTACATATCTTGAAGATACCTTTCAAAATAATCCTGTTTTTTCCCCTTAATTTATACTACATTTTTTCACTATTTTGATATTCTATACATCGTCAGGTTTTGAACCTGGGACGCCTTATTGAAAGGCGAGTGGTAGATAATTTAGTTGTTTATAAGTGCATTGAAAAAGTTGAGCGTAAGTGCAATGAAAAAGAAACATGAATATTTTACCGACTACTTATTACAGATCTGTGTTCACCCTTGTCCACTACTTCACTAGATACTCGTCAGGCTCTTGGTCTAAAGAAAGATTTGACTTTCATAAAACAAAATATCGAAGAAATTTTTTTTCTTAATGTTCCTGATAGAAATAAGCTTTCTAATAATTCAATAAGCTACATATGTTTCAATACATACTGTATAATAATAACTGTAACTGTATAGTATTAACTGTAATTACATTCATAATATCTCTCAACAAAGAAAAACGATTTATAATTTTTGAGAATGTAATTTTTAAGTACTCCTGCAATGGTATTCAAACAAATTCGGTTAAATGTAGAATACTTCTAGCCATTTATTTACTAACTTTAAATATTGTTTATCGTTATCGTTAAGAAATGAAGAAACGGTCAATTCTTATGCTGTAATATAAATTACAATAACGTAATAACTTTTGCCAAAAAGGACATAAAAAGTTAAAACTCTGAAGAAATGGACAGAAAATAGCTTTCCTGGAATTAACATTCATGGCATAAATACAAAAATGCTTTAAAAAAAATCCAGGAAATTTAAAAAAAATAGCGACCTTAATTTTAAATTGTTGGGATTGGTTTGTTTGCCTAATCAATCTTTTTACTTAAAAATATCATCAAGTACAGTCATTCGGGTTTTAATCAACAACTTCCAAAAGAGAGAAGGCCTCCGCACTGATAAGCGAGTAGTTTTTATTACTGAAATTAGTAGTCCGAACGTTGTAACATCTATCTTATTTTTCACCCACTACGCAGCTGTTGTTCGTTTCTTCGGACTACTAAAGTCATCCGAGCAGTGGTCTCTCTTCTAGGAGGTGTTGGTTTAATATGAAACAAAAATTTTAATTTTCATTTCTATAAAATTGTTCCTCTAACATCATTCGAACCTGTCTTATCATATTTGATTTTCAATTGTACATTACTTGATCAAACGGTTGCAGATAACAATAAGAGCGAATGGGGATAAAACATTGATTTCATTTGCAATCAGAAAAGCGAATAACTGGTGGACTAAAGGACTGTAATTCGATATGTTTTATGTTATATTTCCCTGCATGTAGTTGGAAAAATAATTGAAGATTTATAGAAAAAACTTTTAATAAAATAATAATAATAATAATATAATAGTAAAATCGTGTCTTATAATAGCCTCTAATGAATCGTATCTTATATTAGCCATTGATGAATCTATAAGTAATATACACTCTACAACAAAAAAAAATCGACGCACCAAGAACGCACTAAGACGCGCAAAATCGACGCTCGATCAGGCTGGAATGATGCCGACTGGGGAGGTACAGTCTTTAGCGACAAATCCCGCTTCCAACTGTGCCCTGACGATCATCGAAGACGTGTTTGGAGACGCACAGGGCAGAGGGGGTATCCTGCCTTCACTATTGCACGCCACACCGGCCCTCAACAAGGCATTATGGTCTGGGGTGCCATTTCCTTTGACAGCTGGACCCCTTTGGTCGCCATTAGAGGTACACTTACTGCACAGTGGTACGTCGACGACATCCTAAGACCTCTTTTGCAGCACCCTGGGCTGGTTTTTCAGCAGGACAATGCCAGACCACATACTGCACGTGTTGCTATGAACTGTCTACAAGCTTGTCAAGCTCTTCCCTGACCTGCCAGATCACCAGATCTCTCTCCCATCGAGCATGGCTGGGATATGATGGGAAGGTGATTGCATCTGGCACGGAATGTTGATGACCTCGGTCATCACCTTAATGAGGCGGGTCAACACCTTATTGAACTTGTTACTGTAACTCTGCAATAAATTATTCAATTGTTCTGAAATTTTAATCATTTACTATTCTGTACATTGTCTTCCTATCCACGAATTTTCGTTTCAATCGGACAACTCCTTCTTGGTGCGTCGATTTTTTTGTTATAGAGTGTATTATCTGTCTTCTTGAATAAGCTTTACACTGTAAAAATTATGGTGCAATATATTTCCGAATTTGATGTTGAACAATCCAGCAAATTATATGAAATTACCCTTTTTTTTTCTTCTTTAAAGTTAACACCAAATTAAGCTTCCAGATACAATTTAAATGGTGAATGAAAGCTCTAAACATCAAAAATGCAAACCGTTATAGCTTATCTACGGTAAGCACAATTTATTCTGAAAAAGTACATTTTGGTGTTTAACAAAATGTACAACAAATATAAAATTTATTCTCTAAAATTTATTGTATAACTTATGAAAATCTCACCTGATAATATAAAGAAGGATACTAGATCACCGGCATTACTGTTGTAATAAAGAAATACAGAAATCAAAAATATGCAAATAACGATTATCTTATTCCGTCTTGATCTTGATCTTGAACATCCATTTAAGAGTAAAGGCAACTTTGGAACAGACATCCAGCTTTAAATCTAGTCGCTAAGAGACTTAAGATTTCTTCGAATTGTCCCGTGTTGGATGACACCAAAAAAACAGATCATTAAGCTATATCACAACAACATGATTCTTCATATTGATGTCCCGAATCGGAAATCGATCTATCTTCTTGAGATCGTTTCGCTTCGGACGAGATATTAAAACCTGGAAAGTAAATAAGTCATGTATTTTAAATGGAGGATATACTACACTTATGAATAAATAAACGAATGCGAAGCAAATAGCAGCTGTTTTCGTTAGGCAAATGTGATATTTAACCCCAAGCGGGCGAAATGAGGCGAGAGATTATCCTTATCTCAAATGTCGGTGACGTGTTCTACAATTCTTTTAATGTGCAAATAAAAGACGATAAAATAAAGGCGTATATTTTATCATACCAAGGTATAAAATTGATTTTTCAAAAACTTACCTCTGAAATGTAGATCATGAAATAATTTAGATGTTTAATTAACAGATAACACGGAGGAACATTTTTTTGTTTTCTGTTGCATGAGATTTTTTTTTAAAAAAACGCATCTGAACTACTTTTGTATCGCTGAAAAACCGTTTCTTTCTCCAAGCTACGGTGTTTATTTATTTTTTTGAATGACATTTTTATTCTATTTAATCGACGAAATGCACAAATTCAAAAACGGTATAGTATGTAACAAAGGGTCGCATAAATATTGCGACAAACATCTAAGGGAAATAAGGCACATCATCGGGTTTATAATCGCATAGAAATTCTTGCCTAAAAGTGTGGTCATACGCCACTAGGAGCGTTTCCCCTGTTTCTTCGTGTACTTCTGAGCAGATCATAATAAGAAAGCGACTATAGCCACGTATAACGGCAATTCCAAGAACGGGTTTCTATGCAATTTTAATCCTGATGATGTGCCCTAAGAAATTTGTCTCAACATTTACGTGACTCGCTGTAATATATATAAGGTTTTTAAGCTTAGACGTTTCGACAAAAAAAAATTCGAATAAAAAATTCATTTTAAAAAACTGTAACTTTAGGAACAAAACAAATTTTAGATTTGAAATCCTCATACCCGAATTAGGCAATATCACATATCTACACAAATGCAGCAAAAAATTCGTTCCCAAGTGTAATTGAAAAATTCATTTTTTAAAGCAAACAAAGCTAGTATGTAATGCTGTATGGTGCAGTGGCATGTAGCACAGTACAACTATTTCTTTTTTATTATTATTACGTTAAAGATACAAAAAATTTAGATTTCAATTTTTATAAAAGACAAAATATATTATTTTAATTGAAACTAAGATTTTCGAAAAACTTTTAATGCATTGAATTTTTTTAGAAATACAGTGTAAAATGCGCAAATTAAAAAAAGAGTGGAAAGAGTAAATCAAAATTATTTGAAAATTAACTTAATGAATCAAAATAATCGTAAAAATGAGAAAAACAATGCCTTTAGCATTGGCACGTGTATAAAAAATATTAGAAATATTGAAGTGTAAAAAGCATTCTCGTAACAGCCCGTAGTGGACTAGGAGATAAAAGCTACTCCGTTTCGTAATGAACGGCATAATTTTATAACCGTCATTGAAGAGCCGACACAATTTTTGAGTTTACGATTACTAATACTCAAATCCGTAGCCTCGCAATTTTGAACCTAATCCAGAAGACAAGGAAACTCCTGCATCAAGTATTGGGAGAAATTTGCGTACATGGGGAACTTTTTGATGGATCTAACCCGCAGTTGAGTTACATTAGAGGAAAACCTCCTACGGTTAGCCTAACGGCAAGTGGACTCTAACCCATGATCCGTCTACCACTGAGGATATTTTTAAGCAAGCACTGTGGTCGGTGCAAGCCAGATGTGGAATGTGTGGCTATCAGCTATTGCTGGGATTCGAACCCAGTACACTTTATTTAAAGACGAACGCTCTATCCCCTGAGCCATCAAGGTTCGGACGGCATGATTTTTATTTTATATCCGTCGTTGGACAGCCGACCTAGTTTTGGGGTTTACGACTACTAATGTTCAACTCCGTAGTCTTGTAATTCTGAACCAATCTTCTTGAATGCGAGAAATATGAGATTTAAATAATGGGAAAAAATGTAATTTTACATAAAAATATGTAGCTTAGTAGAAAGTCAACTCATAAATGCGATACAATATTTTTTATTTTTTTTAAAAATTAATTTTTTTAAAAACTAAATAGATTAAGATTTTTTAGTTATTTCTAATTGGAGTATTAAAAAATGATATATTTTAATTTTTTTCTGCACATTGTTGGGTATTTTTATTCACATTTTGGTCATGGAACGAAAACTACTAAACACTGAACTCAAATCAAAGAGTATCTATTTATCTACCTATCTATATATATTAGGCAACTAAATTTAGTGTAGTTATAGTAAAAAGAACGCAGTTAATGCCAAATGTATGCCCCTCCTCCCCGTTACATCAGCTCATCTTGATGATCTGGAATCTTTTTTTTATTCACATGAATGCCGATTCCCTTGCTAACGACATGAGTTCCTTACCATCTCTCTATAAAGCGTGGAACGCTCTGATTTGCGTTTCCCGTCCACAACGGTTTTTCTAATTTTATTTTTCATCTTTATTTATTTTTATTTCTTTCTCGGCTACTGCGGATTTTCTAGTTTAGTTTTTCAGCTTTATTTTCCATTTTTTGTTGGGCAACTTTCCGTTTTATATTTCAAATCACTTTTGTTTTTCCTCATTCATGTCTAACAAGTTCTGAGAGAATGAAATGAAAACATTGTACTTACTTTAACAGAAAAGCAATTTTTTTTTACGTGCCAAGTTTTTTTTTTTTAAATTTATTTTTCTGTCCTTAATTAAAGATCAAGTCGATTTTCTAATAAAATAAAAAATTTCTGTTTCTCTATACCGGGTTGTGGGAATGCCATAAGCTAAATTTTCTCTTAGGCTTAGCGGAAGCCATTGTTTTAAATTAAATTAGAGATGATTCAGTTTTGTCGCATATTTTACAGATAACATCAGTTACGTTTGCTAGCTTGTGGCTCTGATCAAAAAAGTTGTTTGTTGCGCTTTCAGTAATACTTAATTTTTTATTTGTTATCTAAATCAGGGGTGAGCAACCTTTCTAATCTACGGGCCAATTGGGTATACTATAGCCTACGTCACAGATCGTGTTATTCCTACTAAATTTAACTAGTAAAATATTTTGGTTTGATNAACGAAGTGTCTTGTTATAAGTCGCTACTCGCCAGGTTGGAATTGTATTAGTCTAGTTCCTTTGGAAATAATTTATATTGTTGTTTTACCGAAGTTTATGAATTTAGTAAGCATATTTAAAACTCAGTTTATTAATTAAACTAAAAGGTAAATGTTATTCCTAGTAAATGGAAGTAGTTGTGCTTTTTTCATGTTATACCCAATTAAAATTTTAAAATTTTTCGGTGGGCCGCATATAAAGTAACACTTACTAATAATTTACAGAACTTTATTTGTAGTAAACATTAGAATAAAAAAATATATAATTTAAAAAAAAGTTAAGATTTCATATACAAGTTTTAATGCAAAATAAAAACAAACAAGAAAAGAACAATAAAACGAATTTACTTGAAATTTTTAATGAGAAATTTGGCACTGTTTTTTCGATACAAGCTGATAAATATCAGCCGGAATTAATGAGGTAGCTACACGTACGCAACTTTCTAATATTGCATCACTCAGTCTTGATCGGTAGTCATTTTTGATTAATTTCATGGTTGAAAATAATTGTTCCCAAACATACGTACTTCCAAAGAGAGACATCATTTGCTTTGCATTTTTCGTCAAAAGCGGAAATTTCTCAGGGCTCACATACGATTTATAAAAATTTTCGATGTTTACTGAGAAAAATACATTTTTTAAATCTGTATTATTCTGCATGTCAATCACTTCCATTTGAAAGTCTTCGGGAACTGTATCCACATCGATATTAAATGGCGAGGAAAACATTTTCATGGAAACCGCTGTCTTCTCAGCTTTGAACATTTGGAATCGTAATTGAAATTCGTTGATTAAAATGTCTATATATTGTGCGTATTTTTGAGAAGTAGTAACGTTTTCTTTTTCTAAATGTGGAAAGTGAGACACATTATTCTGCAAAAGATTCTGTTTCCACAATTTTAATTTGCGTTCAAAGCCCTGAATTTTATCATACAAATTGTTAATAAACTGCCCTTTGCCTTGAAGTTCCACATTAAGATCATTGAGATGCTGAGTCATGTCGATGAGAAACCCAAAATCGTCACTCGTCACAAAAAATTGTTTCGGTTTAGTATGTACTACCATTTCATTAAAATTAATTTTATAACAATACGATGGGAGAAAGTCGATAAAATAAATTCAATTTTAGAAATGCTTGGCGGGCCGCATAAACATGTTTAACGGGCCGCAAGTGGCCCCGCGCGCCGTGTGTTGCTTACCCCTGATCTAAATGATCAAAGGGACTGTGGTAGCATAGGTGGACTACTTCATCAAATTAGTATTTCTAAGGTTGTCTAAAACCACGAGTTTATTTTGTTTATAGCAATGTTTTTAAAACGTGTTGCTATCAAACTTAATAGATTAAATCAGTGTTAATTAAAATAAAAAAATAAGTTTTATACTGAAAAGCAAAGTTAGTGCAGAAAGGGAACAAATTCATTGAGAATAAATATATAAAAAAAAAATCAAATTGATGCCGATGAAAGTTAGTTTTGCATTATAGTTACTAATTGAATTAAAGTAATAACCTATGTACTAAAAGGCAAAATTAATTAATTGGGGAAGTGCTACTAATTCGCTTATGAGAGCATAAAAAATCAGCAAACTATTATTAACTTCAATAATGCTCAATTAATTTTGATAATATGTATTAATATAAAAATAAGCTATGAACTAAAAAACAAAATTAATGGAGAAAATGTACTTATTCATTATTGAGAGTCTTAAAAATTTGCCATACTATTATTAAGACCACATACTATTATTGAGACTAATGATATTTAGGCACTACTGGAATCATGGTGCAGTTTCAATATGTACAGTTCTAATCGATACCAAATATGCATATATAGTACATAAATATACCGAATATACAGATATAATATACTATAATATATATACAGGCCTGCCAACTTTTTGTAAAATATTTTATAGAATGGTTGGCATTTAAAAACTAAAGTTTCATTAAATTTTTCGTTAAAAAATTAAAAAATTTTCTTTTCGTTATTTGCCAACATTTTAAAAGCTTCACCAAGAAAGAGCTTGAACAAAGTGGCGTTGCCTTTGAACTTTT